ATGAGTATGAGACTCTCGGTGAGTCAGGGCCTGTCTACCCATTGCATGCGAAGGCTGGATCCGGCTGACTGAGGCAACCTGGTTCAATGGTCAGGAAGGCGGTGACAGCAAGCGTTGTGGAACGCTTAAAAGCACGACAAGACACATAGGCGTCCTGGTCATCCACTGCGCCCCGTCCTATCTCCAGCCGTCTCGACTTCTGTCCTGCCACTGGATACAGATAGGAACTGGAAGAGACAGTGAGGCTGATGTTGCGCAACTCTCCCTCACTTTAATCCAATTCACACGCAAGTCTCGACATCATATCATATCAAGTCCTGTGGCGATGGGCGAGCGACGAAGCAGCAGGTGTGGATACACTGGGAGTTGTAGCCGCGGACCTGCACATAGGCGGCTCAGGCATAATGGTCGTTCCTCACTGACTGAAGCAGCAGTGGAACTCGGCATCTTCTTGAGCGACTGAGCAGCCCTATTCAGGATTGCACTGCTCACCTCCGTAGAATGAGGAGGGGCTAGAAAAGGTGCCCTAAACATTGCCTGCTTCACCTTACCCTGGCCAGCATACCGCGGCAGGCGGGGATCCCATAAAAGCGATCGAACAAAAACAAAAACAAAACTTAGAGTGACACCGATCACTATTGGCACATGGAATGTGCGCACGTTACTGGACAACATCACGGCAGACAGACCAGAGAGAAGAACAGCACTTGTCGCTAGAGAGCTCGCACGCTACAACATTGACATTGCAGCCCTTAGCGAAACTCGCCTTGCTAATGAAGGACAGCTATCCAATTCAGGCGGTGGCTATACATTCTTCTGGAGTGGCCGTAGCAGTGATGAGCGTTGCGAATCTGGAGTTGGCTTCGCCACCAAGAATCATCTTGTTCGGAAACTTGCCAGTTCCCCCAAGGGTATGAATGACCGGCTTCAAAAAGGAAAACAAGCTACTTTGATCAGCGCATATGCTCCTACAATGACCAACTCAGAGCACGTGAAGGATAAATTCTACGAAGAACTAGATACTCTGCTATCGTCAGTGCACTGCACAGACAAGCTGATTCTGCTTGGCGATTTTAACACAAGAGTCAGATGCGATGCCGCAGCCTGGGAAGGGGTCATCGGGAAAAATGGAGTGGGAAAGTGTAACAGCAATGGCCTGTTACTGCTGAAAACTTGTGCAGCACATGACCTTCTGATCAGCAATACGGTCTTCCGCCTTCCTACCCGTAACAGGACTTCGTGGATGCATCCCCGTTCCAAGCACTGGCATTTGATCGATTAGGTCATCATCAGGAGAAGGGACAGACAAGATGTCAGGGTTACAAAAGCTATGTGTGGCGCTGACTGTTGGACAGATCATAGGGTCATAGTATCCAAAATGAAGCTCCATATCATGCCGAAGAGACGACCACAAGGCTGTAAGGCTCTCAAAAGGATCAACGTGTCGAAGCTGAAGAACAGTCGCATCACTGAAAATCTAGCGGAAGACCTAGAGAATGAGCTTGCTGATCTTCGTATTGAGGATGATGCTGAGAAAGACTGGAGCGATTTCGCAACACTGTCCATACAGCTGCATCAAAGGTATTGGGGCCCTCCACATGCAGGCGGCAAGACTGGTTTGACGAAAAAGATGCAGAAATCCAGGCCTTACTTGCTGAGAAGCACCGCCTGCATCGTGCATATCAAAACGATCCATCCTCGGCGGCAAAGAAGACCGCCTTTATCAACGTTTGCAGAACAGTACAGAACCGATTGCGCAAAATGCGGGACTTGTGGTTGAGCGCCAAAGCAGATGAAATACAGGCATATGCGGACAGGAACGACTTTAAGCAGTTTTATGAAGCCCTTAACACACTCTATGGTCCACAGTCTTCTGGGAGCTTTCCCCTCCTGAACTCTGATGGTACTGTGCTCCTTACAGAGAAGACGCAGATTCTCCAGAGATGGGCTGAACACTTTGAAGCAATTCTCAATCGCCCCTCAGTCATCAATGATGAGGCCATTGGCAAGATGCCCCAGGTTACAGTCAATGACTCCATGGATGCTTCACCAGAAGAGGACGAAGTGAAGAAAGCTATCAATCAGCTGTCAAGTGGCAAAGCCCCAGGGTCAGATGCCATACCAGCAGAGGTGTACAAAGTCGGTGGACCCGTGCTGCTACGGAAACTCACTGAGCTGTTTCAGTCCTTCTGGAGGCAGGGAACCATTCCACAGGAATTTAGAGACGCGTCCATCTTGCACCTCTATAAGAGGAAGGGCAATCGCCAGGTATGCGACAATCACCGTGGAATCTCGCTGCTTTCTACAGCGGGGAAAGTTCTTGCACGGGTTCTGTTGAACCGATTGATCACTCACCTGGAGAAGGGCTTACTGCCAGAATCACAGTGTGGCTTCCGCAAGGGTCGTGGGACTATTGACATGATCTTCGCTGTGCGTCAGCTACAGGAGAAATGTCAAGAGCAGAATCGTGAACTCTACACAACTTTTGTGGACCTTACGAAAGCATTTGACTCTGTCAGTCGCCAGGGCCTGTGGAGGATCATGTCGAAATTTGGCTGTCCAGACAGATTTATACGAATGGTACGTCAATTTCATCACGGTATGATGGCTAGTGTCCTGGATGACCGTGAAACATCTGAGGCCTTCCCAGTCACCAATGGCGTCAAGCAAGGGTGTGTTTTAGCACCCACTTTGTTCAGCATGATATTCTCTGCCACTCTGACTGATGCCTTTCAACACTGCACTGAAGGAGTAAGCCTGAAGTATAGAACTGATGGGAAATTATTCAGTCTGAGGTGACTGCATGCCATCACCAAAGTGAAGGGAACTGTATGTCGAGACTTTGCCGATGATTGTGCTCTGAATGCTAGTACTGAGCCAGAAATGCAAGCCAGTATGGACAAGTTTTCAACTGCATGCAATAACTTGGTCTCACCATTAACATCAAGAAGACTGAGGTCATGCACCAGCCAGCTCCCCACGCTCCGTACTCAGAACCGTCCATCACTGTAAATGGACAGAGACTTCAGACAGTGGACAACTTCACGTACCTGGGCAGTACTCTTTCCCGAGCAGTGTCAATCGATGATGAAGTAAACTGCAGAATTGCTAAAGCCAGCTCTGCATTTGGCCGATTGCGCTTCAATGTTTGGGAATGTCGAGGGATCAGCCTATCAACGAAGCTGAAGGTCTACCAAGCAGTGGTGCTTCCAACTCTGCTGTACGCCTGCGAGACGTGAACTGTCTATCGCAGTCATGCACGAAGGCTCAATCACTTCCACATTTCCTGTCTGCGAAAGCTTCTAAAAATCAGATTGCAGGACAAAGTGCCCGATACTGATGTCCTTATTAGAGCCAGTCTGCCGTCAGTTCACACATTGCTGATGACAGCCCAGACCAGGTGGGCCGGACATGTTGTGAGAATGTCAGATGAACGCATTCCTAAACAGCTCTTCTACGGAGAACTCACTCAGGGAAAGCGCTCCCATGGAGGACAAAAGAAGCGATTCAAGGACACGCTGAAGACCTCTTTGAAGTCCTTCGAGATCAACACCGCCACATGGGAAATCTTCGCACTGAACTGTTCAGCATGGCACAGCCTCATTCACACAGGCAGTAATACCTCTGAGGCGAGGCGTATTGCTGAGGCTGAAAAAAAGCGTGAGCTGCGCAAGTCCAGAGCTGCTCGTACATCATCGAGAGTGCCATTATATGTTTGCCTGACGTGTGACAGGACGTTCCACGCCTGAATCGGACTGATCAGTCATCTTCGGATGCACAAAGCCCGGTCATCAAAAGAATGAGTTGTTGAGGTCTTCATCGATAACAATGGACGAACATCAAGGTATTCAAAGGAAGCCATGATCTTGGCTGGGGTTCTAAGAACTACCGTAATGCTAATTCTACTAATATTAATAATATCTGGATAGCTCAGGGGGGAGGGATAGCTCAGTGGGGGGAGGGATAGCTCAGTGGTTTGAGCATTGGCCTGCTAAACCTAGGGTTGTGAGTTCAATCCTTGAGGGGGCCACTTAGGGATCTGGGGCAAAATCAGTACTTGGTCCTGCTAGTGAAGGCAGGGGGCTGGACTCAATGACCTATCAAGGTCCCTTCCAGTTCTAGGAGATGGGATATCTCCATTTATTATTATTATTATTATTTTTAGACACTCAGTGAACAAGAAGAAAGGGAATTTGTGGAAAGGTTCTTGAAAATTAATAGTAGTGCCCAATGCATGACTAAGAAAAAAAAATCATGCCAGGATGGCATTTCCCCCCACCCTTATCACTGGGCCAAGACAAATACTTGGAAGAACTATACTATCACTGAACACATTTGTACCAGTTGCCAGATTTTTCCTAGCTCTAACAGGTGTAGTGATATTGAAACTTTGTCATGGAAGTAATGGTATATAGAATGACTGCTTGATTTCAACATTTTAGCTGCCAGTCTCAAGAAACTACAGAATAGAAATTTACTACTACACACTATTTCAATGCTGGTATTAAGTATTTGGAGGAAGTATAAAGCATAGAGGTTTTTTGCTTTAATGGTTCATAAGAAATCAGCTGTTAAATTCAACTCAAAATTGAAATGAAACACCCCCCCACACAAACTCAAATACCTTAAGTTTTGGGCACAAGTAGCTCTTGAATTGCTAGGTCTAGAAATAAAAGTTTTATGGTGTGCCAAAGTTGGATTTCAAAGCATTCCAACAGTATATGATATTTGATTCTAGCCCTGGTAGTTCACAATAAATCAGATTGTAAAATTGCTACTAGTCCATCAACCTAGCAGTGCTATTTCTGCTCTAGCTCAGGGTGATCATAGCTAATCTCAGACCTCGGACGACTGCAATGATAATATGTTAATTAATACACAGTGGCTATAGACTTCCAATACATATCTTAATAAAATGTATTAGGATTTTAGCTACAATCTTGTCCTAACTCAAAACGCTTTCATTCCAAATAATACACAAATAAAGTAATATTGTTTACCTGGTCTTGGCACAGGCTGTGCTGCTGGGGTTTGAGTTTTCCGGGCAGAAGCACCTTCCTTTAAAAAAAAAAAAAAAGAGAGAAAAAGAGTTAACATTTGAATAGCTTTTCTCTTATTCAGCTTCCCTTTTAGTTAAATATAAAACAGCTTTTTAATGATGATTAGGACATAACATATTCTAACAACTAAATATGCAGAAAACTTTGATCAGAAAACTCTTCACAACCACTGTTTTGGACTTAAAAAGTCTGAAAATTAAAAAAAAACAAAAACCCTTTTTTCTGCATGTTAACGGTCTATCCACCACAATTAGTATATACCAGTCAACATTTTATCATAAGGCGAAATTGCTGATTTACAGGATTAACGTTTTCACCTTTTAATAAGTAAATACAAATATCTAGCTCTTAAATAGTGGTCTTTACCAGTAAATTTCAGAGCACTTTATAAGGGAGGTCAGTGTCATTAGATATGGCAACTGAGGCAGAGAGGTGAAGTGACTTGACCAAGGTTTCACAGTAGACTAGTAGCAGAGCCAGGAATATAACCCAGGTCTCCTGAGTCCCAGTGCAGTGCACTGCTCTACCCACTAGGAAACAGTGCTTCCCTTTTTACATATGATCACTTGGACAAGATATAATATGAGAAAAAGTGGATAACTGTCCACATCAGAAACCGAAACTAGTATTATTCTCTGAATCTACTCATGAGATGCTCTGGGCTGGAATGTTATGGCCAGGATTTTGAAAGGCATTTCTGTTCTGAAAAGTCCGTATATAAAAACTGTACCTTCTTGCTCAGTAGATCTGAGCATGTGTCTTCCATGTCTTATCTGTTTACTTTAACATACAAAAACAAATCTATACCACCACTCTTTACTCCTGTTCGCTCTGCAGCGCCAACACATTAGCCAAGAGTGAGCCAATTATAATTGGTTCTGAATCAACATTACAGTTGTTTCAAATGGAAGGACAAATTCTGTTCTCATTTATTCCTGTGAAACGATATTGGATATAAAATCCTTAGATAATGCACAAATGCAAAAAGGACTAGCTTAAGTTTACAGGTCTGACTGAATAATCACTTTTTGATCTGTAAACTGAGCATACACTTGATCTGGAAATCATTGAGACATTACAAACACTGAACCCCAAAATACCATTGTTATGAAGTGCTCCGCAACCCTAAATGGGGAACGATTTTCAAAAGAGCTATATGAAAGGGAGGTCATCACCTGCTTCCCACATGGGTATGTAAACAAGTAACACTGTGATCTGTAACTAAGAAAATTCGTCAGTAGGACACTGAAGACCAGGAGCTACTAGATCAATGACACTTTTAAAGTCACACAACGTTAAGATTTAGACCCTCTAAATCTTAACGTTTCTCCAATATAAGTTAAAACTCAATCTTGATCTATAAAACTATGTGATATGAGCATAAGGATGCATCAGTTGTCAACTTACTAAAAGGCTCAAATTCAGTCAGACATCTCTCCACTGAACTTCAAAAGAAAATGCCTGATTAATTACATACAGGTAGGACTCAGCTTAGTATACAGTCAGCTTCTTCAACTTCTAAAGCAGCTACTCTGCTGCTGACCTTGACGCAAGGATTTAACTTCCTCCTTAGAAGAAAAGGATTAATGCTGAATTTCTCTGTGCAGTTTTTGGTTGGTTAAAATACCGTGGTCAATGCTGGCTGCTACATTAACTTTAAAAATAATTTTTGCAAGACATGCTGCATCTCTGCTCTGGACAAGCTATTTTTTGCCACTGTCCCTTCAGAGTAACTATTCAACTGCAAAGAAATTGGTAAAAGTCAAAGCAATTGCACTCTAAGGGCAAAGCAGCAAGCCAAGATGGCAAGAGCAAAGGATGGCTACCTTAGAGAGATCCCTTGCTACTAAAGAACAGCTGGAATGTGAGACTCAACACCTTTATTTTTTTTCCCCCTGAGAAAGTGAGAATAAGATTTCCGCAGTCCATCTTTACAGGAAAGTCAATGTCATGGTCTGCATGAAGACAATGTTGCCACAAAGGGGTTTTAGTTGTATATTTTGAAGAATACTCTTAATGTTGCCTCTCATAAACTTAATGTACAAAAAATCCCAAATTAGTAAATTTCCTGAAAGGCATGGATGGGGGTGCAGGGGGAATCAGAGCAAGCGCCCACAGATAAAGACAAAAGCTCACAAACATAGAAAAAGCCATAGCAATTCAATTTTAAACAGAGTTTTAGATCATACCCTAGCACTATTCTTTCTCAGACTCTATAGCAACACTTTTGTATAGAAGTCCATACTGTTTGATTTTCAGAGAGTAAAGTCAGTTGTATTTATAGCACATAGCCCTTCCTTAAATTGTTACCTTGTTTCCCTCATCATATTAATATAATAAATTAATTTAATTATTAATTGAAAAACTTTTTAAAATACCAGCTAACCAACCTTAAAAAGTCATCTTATTGTGCATAATAACATACAGCTCTTAAGACCCACCTGCTAAAAAGTGGCAATAGAAGTACTGGAAGGTGGGAGAGGAAAGAGTACAGGAATGCAGACGCGACATGCCAAGTCAAAGACAAGTCTGCAACCCTCCAGACACATTCTAGCATGAGAGCTGAGTGCAGAGTTTCAGCATTTTGTGACTAAGTTTTTGAGGAAAATCACTAGACTTCCACTCACAGGACTGGGTAAGGCATGCTACATTCTTTGTCCCTGCAACATGCTGAACAACTTGAGTACTTCCAGCCAAATATACAGGGAAAAAAGCAACAACTAAGTGTAGTAAACTCTGAAGCCTAACTAACATTGCCAACTATGTTCACTGCTAGTCATTTTAGCAGAAGCTTCCAGCTAATGGCAAAGGAAGGCAAGGGAGTTAGACTCCCAATTCCCATTCAGTGAGATTTGATTACCTAACTTCCTTTGGCTGGGGTTTTCAAGGGACAATACATGTTTATGCATTGTGGTTGGATATTAGAGTCAGAGAGAGGTGGGAGACAACATCTGAGGGGAGAAATGTCTCTCCCCTGTGTAGCCACATCAGTAGAGCAGTTAAGTGAAAAAAGCCCAACAAAACCTGGAAAGCAGCATCCTATACTGAAGTGGATTTGGAATGTATGACAAGAGGCACAGTTAGCTCTCATCTGACTATATGTTAGTCACTCAATAGCAGAAAGATAAGAAATTATTTCCTAGAGTATAAAGCCCATTTTATACCATGCAATAACATTCATTAATCTTCCACATTTTAAAGGACCACCATTTAAGCTGCATGGGGAAAATTATGAAACCTGGACAAACTCTATACAATAAAGGACCTGTAAGAAAGCAGTACATTCTTGAAATCTTGGATAATACAGGACAGGCAAAAAGGAAGTCACCTATTCGTTAAACAATCACTCTTCTAGTATTAGCACTGTTTAAGGAGGCAATGAAGCATTGCTAACCACACAGCTCCATTCTCTGACATCCCAATTTCACAACGTGTTCTAAGAGCCCTGAGCAAATCCCCACTACACCAACATTATGTTATAGTTGTCATACTTCTAGCTAGGTAAGACAGGACGGAACTCTTCAATAAAACCACTCCTTAAATCAGTCATAGGAGTCACTAGAGACACAGGGAACACTCCATCCCAAAGCCTGACAGCAGTAACAGCACCTGCCAGGTATACAGGGTGGAGGATGGAGATTAGGAATCTAACAGTCAGGCTTGCAAGGCAGTGCTGAGAACTAGCACAAGGCCAGCTCCTAAAAATCCCTCTCCAAGCTACCCAGGATAAATCACTTGTACTTAATGTTAAAACCATATGGCACATTTCCAAAGGATACAGCTAATTCATATTTACTGTAGAACATTATGCACCTTCTTCAAAGGCTAAAAAAGAATTTTTATGATAAATTGTTGTTTTGAACAGCATGCTGTCTCATAGCATCTGTTTTCAGATGGGTAGCACACAGAAATTGGCACTAAGAAGAATTGTACTTCTGATTATCTTAGTTTTGTGGTCTTGCCATTATGAATTATAATGGCAAACTTTTGTTCTGTAAAACATATTTTGTAGTTTATATGTATGTGTGGTTTCTTTCTTCCATAGGCTATACATATAATGCCAGAATAACATGTATACAAAACTACCCTGAGGATATTATTAATTTCAAGGGGCACATGTTTTTCCCTGAATTTTCATCTTTATTGTAGAACAAACCAATGATCGATGATTCACACCTGAAGTCAAAGGAAAAATATAAATACCACCAAATAACTAGAGAATGGAAGCATTTAAGACCGTGAAGTGACAAGATATCTGATTAGTTGTGCTGTAGCAAATAATTTCAACAATTATATTTAAATGAATGGATAATATACAAACGTGACCAGCATCTGGGAGGGGGAAAATATTTGGACCCTTCAGAGAAATGAAGAATAAAGAATTAGGGTCAAAGTAAGGATTGTAATGAAGGAGAGAAGTGAAGTACAAAGAGGAGTTCAACCAAGATTCAAAAAGCCATACTCCTATAAAAGACATCTTACTTTGAAATTGCTTTATTCCACCTCTTTTCCCTTTAAGATTACTGATGGTTTAATCTTTCTGACCCTCACATTAAAAACTGTGCAGACCATGTAGAAGGAGAAGCAATTGCTAATAACTATTTAAAGAGTACGAGATTTCAACACTACTTGTTTAAAATTTCCTGCAATGAGACAAATATATCACACCTACTGAACGAATGACACTCATTGTCTCATAAAAGTTTCTGAATAACATGGAACTTTTTTGCTCAAAGGATGACATATCTAATTCTTATGCATAAACTGTGTTAGACTGGTAAGGAGTAGATTATGAATATTTATAAACAAATTCAGTAGTTGTCACAAAACCCTGTAATTTCAAAAACACAAATCTTCCTTAGACAGACTTCTTACACAATATTTTAATCACGACCAAGTTAGTTTAGTTTTCCTAATTTACCTTGCAAAGTTGTATTTCGCTAACTCATGACTTACACACTTAACATTAGGGTCTTAATCAGCTTTCATTATCTGTTT